GCAGCCCTGGCTCCCCCCCCTCGAGCCTTTCCTCGGCTCATCCCAGCATCTCAGCCATAGGGATGGTGCAGGTTTCTCCCCTGGAGCCTGTTTTACAGATGAGGATGTCGAGACCCTCTGCACTCCAGCACGGTTTGGTGGATGGCTGCTCTCAGGGGGCAGCACGGATGAACCCCCGTGGGTTTTCCCTGTCCTTCTTCCCCCCCCCTCCAGCCTGACTGTGCTTTCCCCAGCCTGCAGGCATCCCCTCTTAGCCAAAAGGAAGAGCAGCCAAGCAAAGCTGAGGGACATGCCTCGGCTTTGCTGGTGCTGTGGTCAGTGGCTGAACTGGAGGTGGGTTGGGGGGGTGCATGCCCACTAACCCCCCCATCACCCAGCCTGGTGACCTTTTGAACTGGGACAGGAATTCAAGCCCTGGTTCTGCCACGGGCCCTGCTGGCTTCTGCCCATCTCTGCTGCATTTAATAAAGCAGGTATTAGAGCGGCGGAGTCTCGTTTCAGCCATCGGGCTTGAACGGCTGCCTCCTCATTTTTGTGCCGAGCTTGAAGGAGAAGTCGCAAGACCTTAAGCCCTTGTTATAAGTGGGGGGATTTGAGGAGAGTTATTGGCATCTGCAGGACGTAGTTTGGCTGGGACAAGCCTTGGAGGAAGCTGCAGGCCTCCTGCCATTGCACAGGACATCCCTTGTGTGTCTGGCTGCAGCCCAGCTCTCAGCCCTCGCCTGCCGCACGGGCGCCCGGGTGTGAGATGATGTTTTCAACACCTCCTTTCCAAGGTAGTGGGTTTTCTGGGGTGTTCCCAGGCTCTGCTCCCGTGGCAGTTTTTCCAGCTGGAGCTGCTGCCCTGCTTTGATTTGTGAGCACCCCCCAGGATTGCAGCATCTCCTGGGGCTGGAGCAGTGCAAGGCACCCGCACTGCTTGGGCATCCATATCTCCATCCATCTCCTCACCCAAAATGAGGGGTTTGGTGCGTGCTGTGATGCTGGGGGAGGAGGCTGGGAGCCCCCCCCGTGGGTGCTCAGCTTCCCCCTCAGCTCCCACCTCTTCAACACTGAAGTTCACAGGAGGTTTTCTTTGGCACGGGGCCCTTCACTTCCCGGCCTGATGCCACTGCCCAGCCCTGGGACTGGAGGGGGTAAGGGTGGCCATGGTGGAGGTTTGCCTCTCTGCCTGATCCCAGCATCCCTGTTCCTCCAGTGGATTCAGCTTGGACCACTGACCCCAAAAACCCTCTGGAGAGAGCAACAGGCTGTTGCTCTTCATTAAACATGGCATTTACAGGAGCAGCCCAGGGCAAGGGCATTGCCCCGTGCACTTGGAGCCCCTTCCAGCCTTGGTTTGTTAACCCAAAACAGGCATGAGGACAGCAGAGCTGCTGGGGATTTGAGTCTCCTTACAAGTAATTATCCCTGCTCTGGGCTAAGGTTTCCCAGCTCCCCTAATGAAGTGCAGGCATCCCCAGCCAGCCATGGGCTCCTAGGGGCTGGGAGCCAGAGGCAGCTGCAGCCAAAATCCTGTCTGAGCATGCTGGGTGCTTTGGGGGTCCCAGGACAAGGAAAACCCCTTAATCTGTGGCTTGACCTTTCCATCTGTACAATGTGACCTTTTTTGCCGATCAGCCAGGGGAGCTGTAAGTCCCAACCCTTTGCTGTGCTTTCCCTTCATCCCCAGCAGCCCTCAGGTATCACCTTTTTTTTTTTTCCCTCCTCCAGCTGGAAGCTCAGGGCTGTAAAGCAGAACTGATTCGCCATCTCAGATCTGTCAAAACCCTGTTCCCCATCCCTTCCATGCCCTGCTCACCCCTTGCCACCTTCTCTCTGCAGACCTGGATGAGTGCTCAGAGGGCAACGGCGGCTGCCAGCAGACCTGTGTCAACATGATGGGCAGCTACGAGTGCTTCTGCAGGGAGGGCTTTTTCCTCAGTGACAACCAGCACACCTGCATCCAGCGCCCTGAAGGTGAGTGCACGGCCTCTCCCCACCCTGAGGGGCACCCCCAGCACCCCTGCAGAGTGCCTGGTTGCAGATGCTTGATGCGTGAGCCTTCTCAGTGCTGCAGATTGAAAAGCAAATTGGTGATGAGCAGTTTGGGAGAGGATGCTGTGGAGCTAATAAAGATCTCCGTGATAAAACCCTCGCGGGCCCCTTTATCAAGGACAATAATACCAAAAGGAGGATGTTAATCCTGTATCCAGGCATTTTATTAAAGAGAAGGTACCCAGAGATCCTCACAGCATCTTGTGAGACTCTTCTTCTCCTGCCAGGTCTTGCACAGCATCGAGTCCTTGGTCTCAATATCAGCTCTAAATTGCTGCCGTCTGGAACGATCTTGTAGCCAAAATAGGAGGAAATGAGAGATTTTTGCGTCTCTGCTGATTTTTATCTTTGCTGCTTGGCAAAGCCAGCTGAGTGTTTTTGCTTTCCTCTTTCCCCCTTTCCCAGCTGTGTCCATCCCCCCCGCCCCATTCTCCTCAGGGAATCTTGCCCAGCCCAGAGCAGCTCAGTGGTGGCATCTCCCATGCTTCTGTGCTCTGGGTTTCTCAGAGGACAAGCTGGCAGCTCCTACCTGCTGGTGACACAGTGGGTGGCCCTTGCTGGGAACAGGGATGCAGGTGTTGGGTTTTGAGCTAATCTTTTTGACCTGAAGGGCTGCAGAGTGTTGTTGGCTAGAGAGGGCTGTGTTGCTTCTGCAACCCAAGTTTGATCTTGTAGCTGCTACGTGGTCCCTGAGCTGGGGCTCTGAGGTTGCTGCTGAGGACCAGGGGTGGGAGGGTTACAGCTGGTCCCTGGGCTGCAAGCCTGGAAAAAGTGGAGAGCTGAGGACAATTTGGGTCCAATGTTAAAGCCTGTTCTGACTTTTCTCCTGGCTCTTGGGCACTGCCAAGGCAGAAGCATTCAGTATTAGAGACCTAAACCTCAGCGTTATGGCTGCTTCCTTCCTCCTGGGGTCCTTGCCAGCTCCTCATCTCTCTTCTCCTACCCTGGCAGCAGTCTTTCTCCTTTCCCTCTGCTTTTTAACCTTTCCTTATTTTCTCTCTTGCTTTCCTCCCTCCCTCCTGATGCAGAGGGGATGAAATGCTGCTGGGTCAAGAGCCTCGGGAGGTGGGTCCCAGGACCCCTCTCCTGCAGCACCATGACCCTCTCCCTTGCACCAGCAAGTCCCTCCCAGTAAGGAGAAGCCAAGGATTGGGGTTCATCCTGGCCCTGGGGCAAGCTGGAGTGTGCTGGGGGGATGGAATGGGGCTCCTGGTGGACTGGGGGTTCCCAGCCCTGGCACAGAGGCTGGTGCAGCTGGGGAAAGAGGCTGTGATTACAGA